AACACTTAAAGAAGAGCTAATACCTATTCTTCCCAAACTTTTCCAAAAAATAGAAGAGGAAGGAAAGCTTCCAAATTCATTCTATGAGGCCAACATTACCCTGACACAGAAACCAGATTAAGACATCACCAAATAAGAGAACTACAGGCCAATATCTCTGATGAACATAGATCAAAAACCTTCAACAAAATATTAGCAACCTGAACCCAATAATACACTAAAAAAAATCATTCACCATGATCAAGTGGAATTTATTCCTGGGATGCAAGACTGGTTCAATATTCACAAATCAGTCAATATGATACATCACATCAACAAGAGAAAGGATAAGAACCATACGATAATTTCAATAGATTCAGAAGCATTTGACAAACTACAACACCCATTCATGATAAAAACCTTCAATGAAGATTAGAAGGAACATACCTCAACATATTAATGGCCTCATATGAAAAACCCACAGCTAACATCATACTTGATGGGGAAAAACTGAGAGCTTTTCCCCTAAGTTCAATAACAAGACAAGGATGTCCACTCTCATCACTTTTATTCATCATAGTACTGGAAATCCTAGCCATAGCAATCAGATAAGAAAAAGCTGGTAAGGAAAAAGTAAAACGTTTGCTATTTGCAGATGATATGATACTTTATGTAGAAAATCTGAGATACTCCACCAAACAACTACTAGAATTGATAAATGAATTCAGTAAGGTCTCAGGATATAAAAATCAATGTACAGAAATCCATTGCATTTTTAAAGTTTATTTATTTTAAGAGAGCAAGAGAGCAAGCATGGGTGTCAGAGATACAGAGAGGGAGAGAGAGTACCCTAAGTTCATACTCACGAACCATGAGATCATCACCTGCACTGAAATCAAGAGTCTGATGCTGAACTTACTGAGCCACCCAGGTGCCCCTAATCCACTGCATTTCTATATACTAATAATGAAGCAGCAGAAAGAGAAATTTAAAAAACTACCCCATTTCAACTGCACCAAAAATAATACCTAGGAATAAACTTAACCACGAGGTGAAAGACCTGTACTCTGAAAACTATAAAACATGGATGAAAGAAATTGAAGATGACACAAAGAAATATAAAGACATTTCATGCTCATTAATTGGAAGATCAAATATTGTTAAAATGTCCATACTACCCCAAGTAATCTACATACTTAATGCAATCCCTATCAAAATACCACCAGCATTTTTCACAGAACTAGAACAAACAATCCTAAAATTTGTATAGAACCACAAAGACTCTGAGTAGCCAAAGCAATCTTGAAAAACAAAACAAAACTGGAGATATTACAATTTCAGACTTTAAGTTATATTACAAAGCTGTAGTAATCAAAACGGTATGGTACTGGCACAAAAATAGACACATAGATCAATAGAACAGAATAAAAGGCCTAGAAATAAACCTATATTATATGGTCAATTAGTCTTCAACAAAGCAGGAAAGAATATCTAATGGGAAAAAGTCGCTTCAACAAATGGTGTTGGAAAAACTGGACAGGTACATACAAAAGAATGAAACTGGACCACTTTTTTACACCATACACAAAAATAAACTCAAAGTGGATCAAAGACCTAAATATGAGGCCTAAAACCATAAAAATCCTAAAGAGAGCCAAGGCAGTAATTTTTCTGACATTGGCCATAACAACAAAGCAGAATACACATTCTTTTCAAGTGTATATAGAACATTCTCCAGACAGATCACATATTAGGCCACAAAACAAGTCTCAAAAAATGCAAAAGGATTGAAGTCATAACATGCATTTTTCAGGCCACAGATATGTCTCCTGAAGAAAGATAAACAAAAGCAAAAATAAACTATTGGGACATCAAAATAAAAAGCTTCTGTACAGCAAAGGAAATAATCAACAAAACTAAAAGACAACTTACTGAATGGGAGATGATATTTGCAAATGACATATCCAATTAAAGGTCAGTATCCAAAATATATGAAGGACTTATACAAGTCAACACCAAAAAAAAAAAAAAAAAAAAAAAATTCAATTAAAATATGGGCAGAAGACACGAACAGGTATTTCTCCAAAGAAGACATACAAATGGCCAACAGACATAAAAAGATGCTCAACATCACTCATCATCAGGGAAATACAAATCAAAAGCCCAATGAGATATCACCTCGCACCTGTCAGAATGGCTAAAATAAAAAACTCAAGAAACAACAAGTACTGGTGAGGATGTAGAGAAAAAGGAACCCTCGTGCATTGTGGGTGGCAATACAAACTGGTGTAGCTACAGTGTAAGACAGTATGGAGGTTTCTCATTAAAAATAGAGCTACCTTGGGGCACCTGGGTGGCTCAGTCAGTTAAGTGTCTGACTCTTGATCTCAGCTCAGGTCATAATCTCAAGGTTTGTGAGTTCAAGCCCCGCATGAGGCTCTGTGCTTACATCGCAGAGCCTGCTTGGGATTCTGTCTCTCCTTCTCTCTGCCCCTCCCTTGCTGTGCTCTCTGTCTCTCTCCAAATAAATTAACTAAAAAGTTTTTAATTAAAAAAAAAAATAGAGCTACCACATGCTCCAGCAATTGCACTACTGGGTATTTACACAAAGAATACAAAAACACTAATTCAAAGGGTTACATGCATTCCTATGTTTATTGCAGCACAATTTACAACAGTCAAATTATAGAAGCAGCCCAAGTGTCCATTAATAGATGAATAAAGAAGATGTGGTGTGTGTGTGTGTGTGTGTGTGTGTGTGTATGGATGGATCTAGAAAGTATAATGCTAAGTGAAATAAGCCAGTCAGAAAGAGAAATACCATATGATTTCACATGTATGTGGAATGTAAGAAACAAAACAGGACCTCCTGGTTGGCTCATTTGGTTGAGCGTCTGACTCTTGATTTCAGCTCAGGCTCATGATCCCAGGGTCCAGCATGGATCAACCCCCACATTGGGGCTCCAACATCAGGACTCCAACAGAGCCTGCTTGGGATTCTTTCTTTCTCTCTCTCTCCCCCCCCCCCCTTCTGCCCCTCTCTCCCCTGCTTATGATCTCTCTCTAAAAAAAAAAAAAAAAAAAAAAAAAAACAAAAATAAAAATAAAAGACACAAAAACCAAAAACCTTTCTTTTAATATGGAGATCAAACGGGGGGGTGGGGGGGGGGGGGGGGGGGGGGATGGGTGAAATAGGTGAAGGAAATTAAGAGTACACTTAGCACGATGAGAACGGAGTAATGTATAGAATTGTTGAATCACTATATTGTACAAGTGAAACTAATATAACACTATACATTAACTACATTGGAATTAAAAAAAAAAAAGAAAACGGGCACCCTTTCTACTCAGCTCCCATGAAGGGAGGGGGGCATGACTTAGCAGACACCTGGGGATGAAGAGAACATCACCATCCTGTGGTTCAGGGTTTGTGTGAGGTCCCAAATCCTTTCCATCCAGGAGCAGTGAACCAAAGTTTCATCTGTGGCCTTGTGTCCTTTCCTAGCACCAAAGAGCCTTCCAACAGACCTCAGGCTTAGACAGAACCCTAACTATAAAAATGTCAATTAAAATAGAAAAACAAATGAAAAAATATCCAAAATGGTCTTACGATTCAGCTGGTACACCCTTGTATGGCCTTCCAGGTTAAAAGATTGAAAGAGCTTCTTCCCTGGCAATAGAGCCACCTACCATGCTGGCTCCCTTCCTAGGACCTTTCCACCACTGCCCACCAACAACCAACAACTATAAGTAACCTGGCCCAGGAGAGGCTATTGAGTGGGAGGAATGAATCAGCTCAGGAACCAAGAATCATGGAGATTCAGCAAGCTAAAGAGTGAGTAAAGGTTTCACTTTATTACAGTCCTAGAACCTGCTTAGGACAGTGTGTCTTGGGCTTCTATTCCACCCATGGTCAGTTGGGGCCAATTACCATCATCTGGGCTTCCGCTCAGTCCTGCAGAAATATGAGGCAGTCTAGAGAAAGACTGGATGTCCCTGAGATCTGAGATAAAGACAGAGGAAAGGGGAAACCATGTGTACTTACTTCTGCATAAACAATGTGTATCCTCAGCACTCCTTGATTGATTTGAAAGGCTACTGGCTAAACAGGTGGCATTTATAACTTTTATATATTAACGACATCAAGCTTTGTTTCTATATTAAAAGTCATAAAATTGTCCTGTACCAGGAGTGTTTTTTTTTAAATACATGTGGCAAAACAGAAAAAGAAAATATCAATTTCTCCAACACCAAATGCAAACTTAACATTCTTAGAGCCGCATTCAATAAAGTCAATGTTTGTGTAACGATGTGTGTAGTTCCTGGAATCTTTATCAACGTTGAACAGCAACAGCTGAAATACAACAATTCCAATTTAATATATGAAATTTTATTGTACTGGGAATTTAGACTGGGAAATTAGTATGCATGTCAAAATCTTAAAACAGATTTCTGCAAAGTTGCATGAAATTCCTAAAGCTGCTTGCCATTTCCCTCTAGTTCACCAAGTCCCTCCCCTTTGAAAACACTTCATGCTGTTCTTAAATCTAGGCTCTCAACAGCTTATTACATTGTATTAAGTTCTACTTTATTTTCATTCATTTCATTTCTTTGGATCACAAAACCCCCAGTTTGTCTGAAAGACTATTAAATATTTGCTAACATAAACTTGTAACATGAACCTGAACTAAAGGAAAAGCCGCTGGAAAGAGCACAGGGGAGAAATCTAAGCACTACCTAAGATTATTTCTAGGTATTATTTTCTGGCCGCAAACATCTTCATTCAGCCAAAGACAAGACATTAAAAGCCATCTTATGCAAGCAGGACCCGTTTTAGCAGAACACCTGCTGAAAAATTTCATGGTGTTCCTCTTCATTTTTTAAAATGCTGAAGCTTTCTTTTAACTAAGTGCAGTTACACAAGATTTACACCAGGCAAGACCTTATTTTAATCTAAGATGGAAATTATTCCCACAATCTTTCTACATTGGAATGTATTTAAAAAAAAAAAAATTACTTACACCACACAGCAAAGTGAAATCTGGACAGACAGCATGAAACTACCGGCAGCCACCTATTTCCTCACAGACTAAACTTTGTTCCCTTCCTGGCTGTTTCTGGATCAGGTTCACACTGATACACGTTTACTGTGGCCTTGGAAGCTACCACCCAGTGGAGCGAGGTGGGAGGGTTTGTTAATTTAACTACTGCTTGACCACTATTTAGCAGCAGCTTCTTTAAGGTCGAGTTCAACGTGTTTAAAGAGACAAACGCAAGGAAGATCATAAGGTGAGCCTGAAAAATCTCATAATCTCTGATAGTTGGGCTTTGGTTTCTGAGGACGTTTCTTTCCCATATGTTCCTGGGGAAAAACTAATATAGTCGTTCCTCTGAGCTTCAAAAACCGTGTTTTCTTTTAATAAAAGTTTTCTCTTGTCCTTAGAATCTATACATTGTGCAATCATGGCAAAAAAGAGGCCAGAAAGTTGCTTCTCCCCCACCTTCATTCCCTCTCTTTCACTAGTTAGGGGAATAATGCAGAGTTCTTGTTAAACTTAGTTCTTTCTGACATTGAAACCACCTGCTTACCTAAGAGTAAAAGTGGATCCCGAATTCTGTTCTTGGCAAGATAAAATGTTATGCTGCTTCATCTTCTTCCACATCCCCAAGCTTCTTTCTCTTCTGAGCTACTGTATTTCTGTAATTTGTAGCATTAGCTGTTGAAGCAGAAACCATTTATTATGTACTTACTGCACTAATCACTTTATAAACATTATCTCATTCTCTCCTAGGCAACATATTTGGGGATCATCTTCAATTCTTCTTAGTCTGCTTCTCTATCCAATTAGCCCCTTCTCTATCCTGGTGATCTTCTGCAGTTAGAACTGTGGTAGGCAGAATAATGGTCCCCCACAAAGATGTCCATTCTCTTATCACCAGAAGCTGTGAATATGTTACTTTACATGGCACAGGGGACTTTGGCAATGTGGTTAAGGTTAAGGACTTTTAGATGAGGAGATCATCCAGATGGGGCCAACCTGACCACACGAATCCTTTAAAAGCAGTGAGCCTGGGGAGCCTGGGTGGCTCAGTCAGTTGAGCATCTGACTTCAGCTCAGGTCACGATCTCACGGTTCGTGGATTCGAGCCCCGCATCCCCGCATCGGGCTCTGTGCCGACAGCTCAGAGCCTGGAGCCTGTTTCAGATTCTGTGTCTCCCTCTCTCTCTGCCCCTCCTCCACTCTCACTCTGTCTCTCAAAAGAGAATAAATGTTAAAAAAAAAAAAAAAAAGGTTTTTAAAAGCAGTGAGCCTTTCTCAGCTGTGGTCAGTGAGGACTGGACTTGCTTCTGCTGGCTTTGAAGGGGAAGGAAGGGAACCACTAGAAGCTAGAAAAGGCAGGAAAACAGATTCTCTTCTAGATCCTCCAGAAAGGGATGCAGCCCTGATGATACCACAGTTTTAGCCTACTGAGATCCGTGTTGGATTTTTTTTTTCCTAATGTTTATTTATTTTGAGAGAGAGAGAACACGCGTGCAAGTGGGGGAGGGGCAGAGAGAGAGAGAGAGAGAGAGAGAGAGAGAGAGAGAGAATCCCAAGCAGACTCCACCTTTCCAGTGCAGAGCCCACCTCGGGGCTAGATCCCATGAACGGTGAGATCATGACCTGAGCCAAAATCAAGAGTCAGGGGGCTAACGAAGCCACCCAGGCACCCCTTTGTGTTGGATTTCTCACCTACAGAACTGTAAGATAATAAATATGAATTGCTTTAGTCCGCTAAGTTTGTGATAATTCATCACGACCGCAATAGAAACATAATACAGGTACTTTAATTTCAAAATTAATTTCCTTTGAAAATATAATACCAAAACTGAATAGTATACTCCAAATGAAGTCTGATAAAGAAAAAGCTAATTGTAGAACTATTAAGTTCCTTATTCTGATGCTACACTTGGTGGACTCCTAACTTTTTGTCATACAAACTATATCACACCAGGTGCCTGACTCTACCCTCATTCTTTCTTTCAACTAATTTTGGAGATGAAATGCAGAGCTTTATGTTCAATTCAATTGAAATTTCACCTTATTTGTTCTAGCCCATCCTTCCCAACGATTATGTTTAATCATGCCTCTGTACTGTCATAGGAAGTACCTTTTTAAGCCTAACTGCATTTACTTAATTCTCATGTATCCATCAAGTTATTAGTAAATAAACATTGACCAATCAAGATCAAAAACAGAGTTCTGAAATGGAGGACAGATTTTTGTTATTAGAGATCTTCAGTTTGACACTGATCATGAAACAAAACTCTTTGGGAGGCACCTGGATGCTCAGTTGGTTAAGCATCCTACCCTTGACTTTAGCTCAGGTTATGATCTCATGGTTGGTGAGATCAAGCCCCACATCAGGCTCTGAGCTAACAGCATGGAGCCTGCTTGGGATTCTCTCTCTCCCTCTCTCTCTCTCTCTTTCCCCAATGCACGCTCACTCTCACACAATATATACATAAACATAAAAAAGGAAACTTCTTTGGGTACACAAGTTTGATCAGCTACAAACCACCTACTCTCATACAGCTTACTTTTTTTTTAATTTCTCACACATATCAAGAGAATAAAATGCCTTAATAAATAAAGATGTGTCCACAGCATACTGGAAATGGAGATGTGGTTAGGTTGATATGAGCAGTTTTTGTTTTTTAATAGTTTGGTGCTGTCTCAATGATTACCATTTTCTTTGTTAAGAGTTTACAAACTATTAGGGTGCCTGGATGGTTCAGTCAGTTAAGTGTCTGACTCTTGATCTTGGTTCAGATCATGATCTCATGGTTTGAGAGATTGAGCCCTGCCTTGGACTCTATGCTGACAAAGCAGTGCCTGCTTGGGTTTCTCTCTCTCCCTCCCTCTCTGCCCCTCCCCAACTGGCACTGTCTTTCTCTTTCTTTCTCAATAATTAAATAAATAAATAAGCAAACACTGTTTCCGATTCTGTGTCTCCCTCTCTCTCTGCCCCTCCCCCGTTC